AGAAAACATTTTTCGCGGTTGAAACGAGCACGCCGGAAACGTCACCCGCTCGATTCCGACACAGGATACGCGCGTACACGAAGAGGAGGAACGGAAAAAAAAAAAAAAAAGAAAAACGGGATCCGACCGCGTGCAAACCACTCATCGCCGACCATACTTAACGATAAAAGTGTACCGCGTCAATGACCTTGCGTACACACATGCGTGCGGGCTAAAAGTGCAGGCGGCGAATAAAGCGCGTTTCCATGGCGTGGAAAGCGTCGAATTTCAACCGGTCGTTCCTCCTTCGCGTCACGCTCGTCGAATTACGGATTCCTGGTTCCCCTCGCGACCCCCCCCCTCCCCCCCCCACTCCCACGCGGAGACGATCGACGATCCACGAACCAATCGGCCCGATTTCGATCGCGTTTCGCGATCATGGGCCTTAGCATACGTTCAAAGTCAGCCGATATATTTAACGCGCTGGCTGTCAGGTTTAACCTCGTAAAAATTCCTAGCAAGTTGTAATTTCGTCTCGAGACTATCCAAGAATAGATTATTTAAACATTTGTCGTAATATTTAATTTCTTTGTCGGGTCATATTCACGAATCCTACATAGACTTATTTTCTTTACCACCTCGCTTACGGAATTAATTCTTGTAGTTTCTGAACGAAAACTCCTGTCACTCATTTCTGGGCGACGTGGCGACCAACGCGTTAACAAAAATATTCTTTTTCGATAATTGCATTCGAACACGATTGCGACTAACGCGACAAAAATAAAGAACCGCGGAAAGAGGTAAACGAGGTGCTTCCAAGTTGGGCTTCTCCGGGTGTTTTCGGCCATTCTGGTTTCGGTTCGAGGCAGGCGAGACTCGGCGGTCTCCGGTCGGCCATTAATAAGCCACGAGGCTTCTCCGTTTACAACGTCCGGGTCAGGTTAATCGGATTTGCGACGAGGCCAGCGGCGAACTCCTCGTCGAAAAACGGCCCCGTCGTTTGCCAATCGATCGAACCGCTCGCGAATCGTCCAACGCGGAGTCGAATGCCAATTCTGCTGACCCGTTACGCAGTTTCTGGTTACGTCGTGGGCTCTTCTCGTCGATCGAGCCACTTCCATTGCTTGTCACTTTCGACCAAGGCGCGATTTACGTACAACCTATACTTTTCTAAGTTTTCTGAAGCGACCGAACCGCAGCGTGGACGCGGTTTGTACCGAATTACGCGAAGCGGGTCAAAGGTTGAAACTCCTCAGCTGTATGGAAAAAGGAATTAATATTTAAGGGGTTGCCAAAAAAAAAAAAATAGAAATAAAAAAAAAACGTACTTTCGGGAGAGACTGTACGCGAAACGGGGAGGGACATTTGTTTCGCTGCTGAGAGAACGCAACGAGGTCCCCCGTGCGGAAGGTTAGGGCCGGATGTCGATGGGGAAAGTTTTGACCGGCACGCACGAGCTCTCAGCCGACCGACGGCCGTCCGAAAGGCCTAACGGGCGATTTGGGGTAGGTCCTGGACGAACCGCGATCCCGTCGAGCACCCAGACCTCGCAAAAAGAGGGAGACACCCGGATCGAAGGGAGCCACGGGATTTGCTTGGAAAGTTTTGTCGTGTCACGCGTCTCCTCTCGTCGCGTTGCCAAAGAAATTCGCTGTTGCACGCAAACGTTTCGACACTCGTTAAGAATTTTAAATGAAACTTATTAAAATCAACAACGACAGTGTCTACTTCCGACCGTCGATTCAAAGAAAGTAGTTTCTTTTTTTCGATACAGATGGAAAACACGGAAGCTACACCGATCTGGGAAAGCGTCCCTCGCAATGTCTTCGGATTTATGAATTTTCGAACCAAACTTGCAGGACGAATAGAGAAAACCGCGAAGCTTAAGACGCGCGTAACGATTTTATTCCACCGTAAAATTAACATCGTCGACGTACCAAGAACCCGTACGATAGATGGACAATTAGGGTAGCAGCCACCCACGGTTTGGGCAGACTTGGTTGCCTTCTTTTGAAAGAAACGTTGCGGGGTTACCCGTGCGCGGAATCCCATTCTGCGAGCGTTTCCATTCTTCCCCGGTTCGACTAGTAGTGAATGTTTCGCAAGTTGCGGAACGGTGGGGCGCTCGTTCCGGCGGGGAAACAGCGTCTGGTATTAGGAACGAAAAAGGGGCCAAAATCGAGGGAGTCCGTGGGGTCGTTGAAAAACGAAGCCCGTCGAATCAACGCGTCTATCGATTTTTATGGTTTGTGTAATTTACGTGAGTCACTCGCGTTGGCCAACCCATACGCGTCGATGCGCGTTCCGTTCGAACAGGAACGAACCGTCAATAGACAAGGGTTACCATTCAATCCCGGTTCTAAAAGGATTAAAGTTTGCCTTGGTTTTTTAATTACGCCCGGACTCTCCCGTTTGGAAAGTAAATTAAAAGTAAAAAAAAAATAAAGAGGAAGGGTACAGCGATTCTTCGCAGGCGCGTGCATCCGCGATCGCGGCGGGAAAAGGTTGCCTAATTTGGATCCGGTCGACGAATGGCTGCTATAGGTACGGTAACGTCGTTTATCGCGCATGTTTACGACGCGAATATGATATTACGGTCCGCGGTAGGCTTTCGTGCTCGTTTCGAGAAGATCGATGCGATATTAGGACAACGCGGTAGGTTCGCAGACTCGAAGCTCGCATATTTTAATATCCGATGTATTTACGACGCGCTACGGTAGCTCCAGGATGGAACACAGGTCTCTTATTTACAAAAACAGATATTTATCCCCGAATCCAAAGTATGAGAATACTAAACGTTACTTCAATTCGTTCGAAACCTCAAGATCGACGCGAGTTAATTCCCCAAGTAGCATAAAAATGAAGTCGCTTGTCGGCTGTCGTGGCAACAAACAGCGAACGCAGAAGAGGGTCGCGGGACAATGGCATCGCTCGTTTCCGGGTCGAAAAGCGACGCGCGGGAAAAAGAATTCCTTTCTTCGAGGGATCGATAATCTGTTCGAGTCGCGGTGGTCTACCCTTCCGTCCGTTACGCCCCGTAAACAGAGAGACTTCGAGGAGAATAGTTTGCGAGTTTGTTGCCGCGAAACTTTCTCGGCGCGCGCCTACTTCTTGCCACTTCGCCGATGTCCGACAAAGAATTGAAGAAAATCTCTTTAGACACCTCGAGAGAGACGGAAAGGGAGCGCCTATAGTTGGCCAACTGTCCGACATCGTCGCGTTGACATTGTTTCCGTTTGTGCGTCGCGTAACGGATCGTTTTTAAAGAGAAAACGAAATTGTGCTCGAGAACTAAAGGATTCGATCAGTCCAGAGACATTCATTGCGTATCGATAACGGACGACTACGTTGTTCGAGGCGTTTCGTTGACCGCGACACTTTAAATAAATCGTTGCTCGCCACCTTGGATCGATACGATCGATCGTGTTGACTGCGTCGAGAGAGACGTGGGGGTACGAAACGGCGAAACATCGTCGGAATTTCGCGAATTCGACGCGAGTGGCGGGAAGTAGCAGGTTTCGACGAATGCTTATCGCACGGTGACATTCGGTCGCATGCTTACACTTGAGCCACCGACAGGCTGAACGGGTGTGTCCATGGACACAATGGGCGCACACGTTTGCACGCGAAATACACTGTGCCAGGGGGAGGGAAGGGAGACCGTAGAGCCGTGTGTGGCGGTCGTTACACAGGGCCATAATGCACACGGTATCGATCGGTGTTTTTGCGCCGTATGACAACTCGTTACGGAACGCTGATCGAAGCGCGAGTACAAAGTACACAATTACGGTATGTTCGCGGTGAGCGCATCGTCCTGTGAAAGGAAGAAAATTGGCGGAGAGTTTCGCCTTTTCGCCGTTCTTAATTCTCCATTCCCGGTCTTTCTTCCCTCTTTCCAATCCGTCTTTTCGTTTCCACGATCCCTGCCCCCTGCGCGTCATCCTTCCTAGCCTCTACGAAAGAGGAGAAAAATCGAGGACGAGCCTATCGCGTATACGCCGTTCCACGGAACCGTGGACGACGAAGATATCAGTTCAGAGATAGCAGTACACGAAATTTATTAAAAAAATATATATATATATATATATCTATATCGTTGCTATACGATTCAACCGTGCAATTCGTATTGTCATTTTTATTCCGCGAAGAACGGACCACAAGTGCCCTTTTAATTCCTTCCTCGAAACGTTTTATCCAGAGAAGAATTTTACCCATCTCCGGTTAAGACCACTGTATATATTAGCCTGACGTTTTCTCGTTGATTTGACTTTAATATCGGGCACCGAGACATCCTTCCGCCGACGTAGCCGCGGGCAAAGGGCGCAATGAAAATATTTCGTTAGATCCCCGGGACGATATTAGCGCGGGAGTTACGGCTGAGAGCGAAAAAGGAAAATCGCGCTATAACGCACGGGTACTGCGGCGACGGTGTGTCTTTGGCGCCGAGAGAAAAACCTCGCGTTTCGCTCAAGTGGATTGCCTTCCTCTCAGAGGAAACGGGGGAAAAACGAGCTGAACGGCGATTGGGGGAGAAAACAAGAGGGTAGATGTTGGGAACCGCGAGATGGAAATTGTCTTTGGTATCCATTCGATTGGTTACCGGTCGCGACGTAAGTGGGACCGTTAGAATTGGTTCGCGTCCGAAGCTGTTTAATCGACGTCGTGTCTTTTAAGCCTACTCCATTGGAGTTAAGAAGTTAACCCTTTGCACTCTAGGCCTTTCTTTCTGATATCTGTTAGCAACTCGAGATGATTTCTTAGCATTCTATCGCCACGAATGTTGACCTTAATCAGGCCACTTTTACAATTATTTTAACGACGCTTCGAGTTCCAATAAAATTAAACCTAAACAAACATTACTGATCGATTTACTGCGTCAAACCTAATAGTGAACGAGAGTCACCTCTCCCCAGTGCAAAGGGTTAACCAGACGTGGTCAGAATAACAAAGAACTCGAGGAGGCGCGATTTGAGTGATCGATGAATCCCGTACACCTCCCCTTGGAACGAAACGTAACTTACCCCATGCGTGCCCGTCGCGCAAGAGGAACTCCACTGTCCAGTCGTCTCCATTTCCGGTGTCGAATGCGATGGCCCTGGCGCTGTAAGCAAAAGGAAGAGAATTAGTGGGTCGGTGACGCGTGGCACGCGCGCGCTATCGATTCGGTTTCCTTGCAGCAGGATGACAAGCTAGGGTAACCCGGCACGCTTAATCGCCGGTATATAGGGGTAGGTTCGCAACCCAGGGCAGGTTATGGTGAATCGGAATGCAGGATTAGTCACGAGCAAGCTTGCCTCTGGGTAACGACAGCTGCTACCACCATGTACAGTCGTCGTCATCAACGGCGACTATCGACGCCATTAACCGACGGATATACCTACCCAGCAACGATGGTTAGTGTCATCCGCACTCTACGCGGAGATTCGCGCAGGTAACGCCGACGGGGCCCGCTGAATGCGAGGTGCTTCCTTTCTCTGTCGCTCGCTGGCTCCGATGTTGCGGGGTTTCCGACCCTTTCCAATGAATCTTCGAGAACCGACTGAATGGCGTTCGACGTTATCGAACACGCACCCCTACCCCACGAGACCTCTGCCGTCCGCGAAATTCTTTCTGGAATTTATGGCGCGTGAGGGGATTACTCGGAAACGAAATACGCATCGCGCCTTTTCCTGGAATCAGGCGCTGAACAATTTCTTAGCAAGAAATTCTTACGTACATGTTTACAATAACAAGGTCTACGAAGACGAAGGACGCGCGTTATATATGCTGTTATATATAACGAATATATGCTGTTTCGAACCATCGACGTCGTTCGGAAAGTTCTGTCTCTGTATCGTTGATACGTTCCACGACAAAAATTATTCTACTGGGTTGTCCAGAAAGTTTGTACCAATTTTTAAGAAAAACTCAACGGATGTTCAAATTTTGTAGTATACAGTCAATCCCATGAATATTCGTACTCTCCGTCTATCGAAGAAGTTTGAATTATATGCATATAACAGTTCCGATATTACCAAATGAATGTTTCGTAATAAATATGTATATATGTGTAACCTTACATGTATAATATTATTAAATGTTGTTAAATACTCATTCAATATAAAATCTAGAAACAAACGTTGAACCACATATTTATGAACGAGGGTGTATTTATATGTACATCAACATACTTATACAAACATACACTTGGAAATATCAAACCTACCATTTAATTTAAACAAATTTCTTCAATAGACATAGAGGGTACGAATATTTATGTGACTGACTGTATATTTAGCGAATTGCATAGGTACCACCTTGTGTCACACCCTTTCCATCTTTTAAGGGATTCATACCATATTATTTGTCTTCAATCCTTCCGATATATTCAGACCGGTAACCCCACCTATCAAAAATCGACACGGACTTTCCAGACAACCCAATAGATTCGCGCCAGTCGAAGGTGGACCAATTTCCACGTAGATGCAAGTCGGTCGGAGCGTAAACAGGTTCGACGAATGCACGAAAAGAGGTTCGAGCATTTTTTCCAGCGTGTTCCCTCCCCAGTTTCCTGGCGGCGTAACTCTTCTTCGGTTTCGAGACTGTAATTTAGAGCCGTTTCGACGCCGAGGTAATGGAAGACGCAGAGAGGCCCGTAACACCCTCGACGGGTGCACCGCGATCGCTGCTCGCGACGAAGAGGGCGCGAGACAGGGGGCGCTACCAAATTAGTGCCGACGAGTTATAGTTGCTGAAGAGCGAGACAGGGCCGTGCGGCGAAGGCTAATCGTCGAACTGGTTGGGGTGCCGACGTCTCTTCGCGAGCTGCAAGAAAAAAAATATCGGTATCTAGTCGAGGGTAGAGGCTCTGAATATTTAAATCCCGACGAACGGGTTGTACACCGCGTTGTCATTAATTCTACGAAGGATCTTTTCCACGAACTCGATGAAAGACTTCACGTAACTTACACTTTACTTCTTTTCGATTATTTAAATGTTATCGACTTTCGATTTTATATGTCTCGCAATTGCCGGTTTTAGACACCCTCGCGGTTGTTCGAAGTCGACGAGGTTAGCTCTCTTCGCGCTTTTTATTCGATCCTCTTCGAATATTCGTAAATTTTTATATTCGGGGAAATGTCATCCTTTTTTCACGCATTGCACGCATTTCTACTTTTCGAAGAAAGAAATGAAATTGCACTCCCAATTGGTTTCCCAAGCGTATGGCGTAAAATAAAATAAAATAAAATACTAAGGGGACAAAAAAAGAAAACGTCGTTTCTGCAAACGTTAACGCTTGTTTATCATTTATCAGCTTGCTGTGTACCAATTTATTGTTATCGACCTGGCATTCGAAATTTGCACACTAGATAGTAAAAGGTTGCTAGTAACAAGAGCGATTACATAATTGATTAAAAATTAAAGCTCGTTATAAATTTATTTGTTTGCGTTTAACGTAATAAAAGCGACATTATTTTTTGGTCCCTCTAATAAAATCGAGTTAATTACGGTAAGCCTCGATTTTTTTCTAGCGCCGAGAGCGCAAGCTACAGATACACGTCGAACGCATATACGGGTTCATTGTCCCCGAAGGGTTAAACGGTGAATGTGTCGGTGCATCCTCGGACACCTGACCAACCTAGGCTCCGATGCTGGTGAAAGGCCGCAGCTTACACCCCGAAGCCTCGAACGGTACAAACTGCAACTTGCCGGTAATCGTCTGTAAACCGAATTAAACACGCGTATAGTGTAAGCCACCTATTAAGGAATGCGAGATCTAGCAGGAGATTGTACCGAACGTAACGCGTCCCTCTGCGGACCGCTACGAATCTATTTGGAGATTTAGAGTATAAGAAGGTAGAAAGATCCGGGGGAAACGCGAGTTTCGATGAGGTTGGAGAAATTTCCATTTGTAAATGCTAGTTAGGTGTTTCTAGGTAAATAGAGTTGTAATGGAGTATCCGGTCTTTCCGTACCCAACAATAAGGAGTCAAATGAGAATACGAAAGCGGTCAACTGTGGATCCGAGGATCGTGGGTTCGAATCTCTGTGCTTTATTAACCGACTTCGAAAAGGAGGAGGTTACTCAATTCGACATGTATATATATTTATTTTTTTTTTTTATTTTTATTTTTTTCGTTTAGACTCCTACGGTAGTACTCGTGGATGAAGATACACATGGAAAGACAATATGATGGGTTCGCGAGGCACACGTACCCGTGGTGAACGTCTCGCGTCGAGACAGATCTTCCATCGTCACAGAGTAACTACGACATCTCGGATGCCCTAATAGTCCGCGGTCTGGCAACGAAAAGAAAAGGTCCGATGGGCAGCCTGAGAAGGGACAACGGGAGAGGGCGCCAGGTGGATGATCCTCCGATAGACGGTTCGGAGGAGGTTGTCGAGAGGACCGAAGAAAGGGCAGCTCTGGACAAGCATGGGAGAGAGGGACCGGTCCGGACTGGACCGGACCGGAGCAGCCTGGAAGACCGAACAGGGATCCGAGAGGGAAAGGGCAGGTTGGCCCAAAAAGTCGAGCAAGAGTCGAAGAACTCCAGGACGGACCAAGGACCGACGGCGGTTTTCTTGCCCCTCCCTAAACCTCTCGGTTGGCTCTTCCCAGGCGTCCTTTTTCTACTCCGGTTGGCCCTTTCGTTCTATCCACTCGTTCGACGCGTCCTCGTCGCTCCTTCCCCGATTCCTTAGCCGCTTCTTCGTTTCCCGCGGTTCTGCCGTCTCGGTTTGACCGAATGATCGCACGCAGGTGAGACGAGGAGGCCCACCGCTGGTCCCTACCTGGCCAGAAGAGCCAGGAGGGGAAGACGGCACTGACCTAAAGCAACATGGTCGGCGAAGCCAGATCCCAAAGCGACAAGGAGAGAAAGAATGCGTCGGGTTGAAAAGAGAGCAGAACGAAACGCCGAGGGGAAAATTAATGGCGACGAGCCGAGCGATTTTTTCTGCTCCCCGGTTCGATCGAGATTTCGAAGGGACGCGGTTTCGATCGCGATGCTGCTCGATTCCAGAGGATTCCACCTCCGCTCGAGTTGCGTCTCGAACAAACGGATCGTTGGAATGTTTATCGTGGAGCAAGCGTAGCCGTGCTTTCTCATGGTCTTTTTGTTTCTTATCGGAAAGCATTCCTTTAACAAGTAGGACAACGAAATATCGGTCACGCTTGCGGGCAGTGCTATCCCCTGATTAGGATGCGAGTCTCGCGCCGAAGTGCTATTCAGCCCTTGACTTTCTCCCGAACCGTCTGGGCGGAAGGGCGCGTTCGACTTCGAGGGCGATCGGATTTTTTCTTAGCGCGTCAGTTTTGCTCTCGTAACGGGCATCCTTGGCACGCATCGAACCTCGCCGAGGAAGAAACGTGTCAAGGAGACGCCGTAAACGAGGGGGTGAAGACAGGAGCGCCGCTAGGGTTAGCGTCACCCGGTGGCGGTAACTCCCATGGCGCCACCCTCATGAATTTCCTTGCGAAAGGGACCTCGCGATAATGTCTCGGTACTCGAGTTGTTCGTAAATCGGTCAACCAGCGAACTTAAACTTTCCAGATCGAAACCCACACCTTTGGGAATCAGCTCCTCTTTTGATAACAGTGTTGCGAGATTTCAAACGCTGGCATAGGATGCTTAGAGATGTATATGGATATAGTTCTTAGAAGTTGGCGTGGCAGTTATTGGCTGAATCCGTTACATCTACAAAGTTACCGCGTAACAAAGACTGCGAACGAGCTTTATCGAGATAAACTGAGAAAGCAATAATAACTATTGGCGTAGACATATGTAAGAAAAATCAAAGAGTTCGAGACGTGTAAGATACATTTTGCAATTAACACGTTGAGGACCACGTCACCCACGTATAGGTGACAAGAATTTTCACCAAGCAAATAAATACATTTTGAAGGTGAGATTTTAAAGAAAGTGAATCTAGGTAGGTCTGATAAAATTTACGGGGGTGGTAAAAATAACTAGTGGAAATGTTACATATTATAATATTTAATGGTAGCAAAATAAAATTATTATTAGTCTGGCAGTCAACATGTTAACCGACAATGTAGCGTGAGTGCTCGAAAGAAAAAGGACTCCTAGAGGACCAAAGACCGAACGACGTAACCCC